TCAAACTAAAAGTTCGTGACTTCAAGCACTGGTGCCACGTGTTGGTTCGGCCGCTCCTAACTGCTTTCCAACCATCCTTTAAACTAGTCACCGTCGGGCGTCGTTGTAATCAGTGTTCAGGCATACGTAACACGTGGCCCAACCATCTCAGTCGATGAAGACTTACAACCTCATCAATTGATTTATCATTATTCTCTAATACTCTGTGTCTAACCTCCCAATTACTAATCCGATGATTCCAGCAGATGTGAGCAACATTTTTAAGATATCTGTGGTCAAATACTAGTCGCTTATGAGTATCTTCTACTCTTAATGGCCATGTTTCGCAGCCGTTAATTAGAATATTACATCAGGTGTATACAACCACGCGGTCTAGCCATCTCACTCGATGAACATTTACAACTGAAGATACATTTCAGTAGTAAGTATAATTTTGTATCAAAATTTACTCTAATCATAAGAAAATTTACGAAATTCTTTAAGAAATTTTCTAGCAAAATGATTGATCTTCAGCAAAACATAAACATGAAACCACATGGATACAACTGAATTATATATATTTTTCAAGGATAATAATAATAAGAGGATAATCACTGATCATTCATTAAGATTATTTCTACAATCTCAATATAATTAAAGTATACTACTCATTACTTAATCATAAAACTTTAAGAATTCCATCTAGAAATGTGTAATAATCATGATAGGATCTTTAATGTAATTCATATTTTACAAGGTCTATGCTTGTTAATAAACAAGTATAAATAGAGACAGACATTAGAGGAATGAACAACGATTGGATGGAACTAGAAAGGAAGGTTCAGAAAAGAGTGGGTTGAAGAATGCTGGTCGGCGGTCTGTATTCCGTTGGGAGTAACAGGCTTAAGTAAGTAAGTAAGTGATATGATGGGAAGAAAAGTCAGAATTCGATTGATTTAGTGATTATTTTATGTATAGTAATGATAAGAAACTCCGCCTGAAGTCCCTCAGCAGGAGGGTTGGGCATGGGGTTAGCGATTCCATTCCGTAGAAAACTAACTCACTAAAAAAACGCTAACCAGAAAAAATTATTCAAAGCACTTAAACTATGCCCTGGGAGTTAGAAGGTCTTCATTTAAAAGAGTTATGACGCCTCATGATGAAAGTCGACTTCCTTCGAAAGTCACGATGCTGATGCCCCTTCTGACAACCAGATTAACCATTTATTTAGGTACATGGATTTAACAATGATAAGAAAAAGGAAAGAATGACTATAGATTTACCTTTAAGTTCAGAATTGATTCGTTTAATCGATTGATTCATTCCATTATTCAATGGATTAGATTCATCTTTCTGTGTATTATATTCATTAGATATAGTTTTATTCAAATGAGATATCATTGAATGAGAATTAGATGATGATGATGATGTTTTAGTCTTTGATAGATCCATTGTATTCAATTGAATATCATTGGGTTTAACTAAAGTTAAAGGAATTTTTGGTGTTTCTAATCCAGCTGTTTTACATGAGAAACCTTCTATTTTATTACGATGATTATCCTTATCCATTGAAGTGTTATTATTATTATTATGGTTTAATCCTAACCATGTTTCAGTTAGATTTGGTATTGTATATTCATAAAATAAATAACCTTGTTCAGTCATAGCAGTACGACATTTAATAAGACTTAATTCATTATCATATGGACATTGATTAGGTATTTCACCAACACATGCAGATTGACAATTATGAAAACAAAATTTACCCCATGGGGCTATAGGACATTGAAAGAACATACTATAACCATTAAGTATATTATATTATATTATTATTATTATTATGTTATTATTATTATTGTTATGACTTCTAATTGTTTATTATTGAATGAATGAACTTCACAACGTATTATTAATGGTTGATTTAATTGTACTTGATTAGACGATGGATTAAAACTTATAGTTAATGGTGTATCTGATTCAATATCTAATGGTTTACTATAAATGATAATAATTCCATAGATCATTAGTAATAATAATGAAAGAATCATTTCTACAATTGAATGTAATGAATTTGATCTTGAACGATGCATCATGTTCTTCTTCTTCTTCTGCTTCTTCTTCGTAGAAACTGGGATACTTCAATTAGTTGTTCTTTGTTCTCTTATCATGTAAAGCATATGATGGATAAAATAAGGTATTTCATTGAATTAAATAAAGGACATAGTAACTAATTTATAATTTAGTTATTCCATTAGTAATTTGTTTCTATGTAAAACGAAAAAAATTTTTTTTCTGTCATAAACTAAGAGAACAGACGACAATTTTGTATTTTAGATCCAGGACATACGATTTTTAAAAAAATCATCACTTTCTCCAGAAAAGTTATTCACATGTTGTTCACACTACAATAAATGATCATCATTAAAAAATGATAATAAGCAACAGAGTCTTTTCTTTTTCTGAAACCCCCCCCCAAAGAAACCTTACTACACCACGGTTAGCACTTTCCAGTCGCCCGCAACTTGGACGGGTTCTTCTTGAGGTACTTGGAAAGGAAATTGTATTAGAGGTGTTCTTAGTGACTTTAGAGCGTGACCGCAGTGCCCAGAGGACAACTGCTTGAGGTCGGTTACAGATGACCTTTTTTGAGATAACTTAGTACTTGCTGATACCATATCGCCAGATACGGAATTCAGTGGGATAAGGCGAGATGTGCATTTTTGAAAGGTCGACCTTTTCTAACCCTACCCTTTCTTGTAGGAAGGCAGCATCGCTGTTATACTGGTTGTCTGAAGGAAACATCTTACTACCGTCACATCACTGTATGGTTAGCCTTGGATTTGCTGCTTTTAGTCCTACTGTTCTTCAATCAACCTATCTGACATGGTAGGGCCTTGAGGAACGATTGCTCCAGCCAGTACAGTACGATTGACTCATTACAGTAGGTGAGATAGGCCACCACGTCAAAGTAGCAGTAACGGTCGGTGATAAAATTTGAGAACCATACATTGAATATTTTCGGTGAGAAATTCCATTATTTGTCCTTCACATTCTATATGATTCTTCAAAATCATAATTCTTATCTATTTCCATTTCTGTTTTCTTCAAGTCGATCTTCAAAGCCTACTGTTGCCATGCATTTCTCTATTGATTGGCGTCACATACTACGTATGTCGACAGATATAAGTAGCATACACCACATTTTTATCACTGAATTGACAAACAAGTTTTACCTACATTACTTTGATGTTGATGTTTTCAGTGCGATCCGAATTTCATTATTTCTTAATTTATAAGGTAGATTGATATCTATTAGATAATTGAGTTAATGTTGAATAGCTCTTATTCAAGTATTTTCAATCTGAAGGATCTTTGATTCACAACTGATCTCAATATGAACTTGAAGGTAAGCAATATACTTCAGGATTGATACGTTGATTCTAAACTACAAGTAAGCAATTGCTATCACAATATAATTTAATGAAATTGAATTCACATTCACTTGATATTGTATACCTGAATCTTCCCATTCATTTTTAAGAGTGCAGATTGATTAGTCCCTTATTGGCATATGTGTAGCTTGTGCAGATTGCCTAGATATTGCTTTCATTTACAAGCATTCACTCTGGGATGCAGGTACACCAAGCTGACGAATCCCAAATAGGAAGAAACACGCACCCTGGATTTCACTGCCAGCCACTATTCATTTTTGCTTAAAATGCTCGTGACTTAAGGCAATCTGCACAGGTTGCATATATGCCAATAATAAGAGACTGATCAATTGTAGTCCTAAACAACAATGGGAAAATAAAATTAAACAACAATACCAAGTGATTGCATGCAATTGGTTCCCTTTATGAATTTAAATAGAGCAAGAACAAACATTTCGAGGTTTCTCGTCAGCTGCTTATAAAGCAAAATTATGATAGAATTTTGACATGGAGATAGAGTGAAAACAAATGACATAGATGAGTGTAAATAACTGGGTTACAATAATAACTATATATATATATATATATATATACGCTATAAACAGATCAGAGGTCAAAAGAGAGGGGTTAATCCAGGGTGGGTGGTGTAATAATTCAGTGAAGTTCATAAATTGTGTGATAATTGTAGAGATTAATGGAATTAAATAATGATAAGGTAGATTACGTAATAATAATTAAATAGGGTTGACATTTTGCCCACGGCAATTAAGATTCCCTACCACCCATTTGTAAAAAAATGTATGGTGTCAAAGAAAAATTTAGCGATCGGTGATTGGTGTATTTGTTTTGCAGGTGTGTGCTCAAGTGATAATGAACAAACATTTTGTCACCTTTAATAATTTTGTAATTGGTCGTAAACTGTTCATCTTTGCAATGTGATTAGTTGAAATTGAAATCGTATCTAGAGCTGTGATTGGATATCAGAATTTTGATTTTTGAATTTGAAATTTAACGATAATGAGTAAATCTTTTTGTGTAATCTTAGTCTTGTAAGAAATTTAGACATTTATAGAACAAAAACACCAATTTAAGTGCAATCCAACTGTTAATGAATGCGTATTGGGATAAATTTTTGATTTCCGATCAACAATTTTAATGTCACGAGTACTTATATATATCACATAAAAAGAAAGTTTTTGGAAAAAAGCAACTGAAAACCGGTTTGAATATTTGATAATAGTGATTACTGAGTAAGGTCGGTAGTCAAATCTTTAATACCAAATTAATAAACAAATTATCACTAAAGTGTATGCATAGGTTTTTTGGTAACACATGGTCTGTTAGTTCGAGAAACAAATCAACATATCAATAATTCATCATGATAACTTACTAGTTGCAATATTTATGATTCAGGTGAAGCAACCGTAGACCATCATTGAATGAACTGACTTTGACAGTATATGAATGTAGTAATAAATTTAACCGAAATAGGCACTTAATATTTTGTGAACTTTTTTTGTAAATGTTCATTCTTAATGAGAATTAGAAAACGTTAGATTTAAATGTAGTTAATTTTAAAAGTCCATTGAAAGGGTTTATTGTTTTCACTTGTAAATTATTTGTAGTTCTGTATTTTAAAATTAATTTTTTGGTCGTAATAAAAACTAGTGTGTTTAATCAGTCATGTGTGAATATTGTTCACCGGCGTAATATGAAACCTGAACTATATCTAGACATTACGAATGTAACCAATTTTGATAATCATTTGAAATATCAGTTTCATAAAGTGTAAATGAACAACCGTAGGTCGTCTGACTGACTCAACAAATATCTATCGACATTCAACGTATAAATATGAATAAGGTCAACTGTATCAATGAACATTTACAATGTTATTATTATTTATTTTCCTTATTATTATTATTATTATTACTATTATTATTATTATTATTACTATTATTATTATTATTATTATTATTATTATTATTATTATTATGTCAATTGACAAGATTCAATTCTCATACTATGCATTTCATTGACACAAAATTCTTTGCATTTTAAATTTTCCTATAATGCTCTTCCACTTATTGTGACTGAACACTGTACTGCAAATAATCCAGACCTTTATTGAATGACCTTTGTAATTTGCAAATGTTACAATTTGTAACTATATATATATATGTCGTAACAGATGTAAACGTTCACCATTGTTAATACATTACATTGTCAAATTCATTAATCCCATGACATATTTTTGGCCTTTATAAAATATGGAAATTATGGACTTATAACTGTATAGTGTGATTGTACCAGTAATTAATAGTTATATGGGTGTGCAAATGAATACGTTGATATAATCAGTGGTTATGAATAACAATGAAGGCTTAGTTGACGATCGGACTTAATTCATACGTACGCTTAGTTCTGGTTTCAGGTACTATTAATATAAAACTGGAATATGAAATTCTTGCATTTTGTATTCATGAAACGGATAATATTCTCATTTCTTTTAACACTTACTTTAATCGGATTACTAATTTCAATGATGACGGCTTCAACTTGTTTTATAATGTCAGTATCTTATTCATAAGGAAGATATTTTTCTCAATTTTGTTTACATCTCTATGAGCTTTAATCACATTCATATTTGTAACTATCTTATTATATTCACTACTAAATTTATTCACCTTACGACAAAATAACGATTTTCACTATATTAAAATATTCCTATTAAAATGTACTAGTAATAGATAGTTTAAAAATATGTTACTAAGACATGAACGGTAATCACATTATGTTACATCTAAAATTATTAGATAAGTGTTCATAAAATGACAAAATCTTGTCTGCTTTCTTAACCTTTATATGTATTATACATTAGAAACAAGTTTACGAATACATGAGCGATAATCGCTTATCGATTATTAATATCTAAGGTATATCGAAATGCATTCGACAATAAAAAGTGCTTAATCACTTGACCTTTGCCAAAGACAAAAACAATATTGGGAAAAATGCCTTTAAATCAATTTGTGGGTGGCCCTGAAAAGGGCCTTTAATCGTTCTCGCGGTGGGACGTCCAAACTATTAGTTGGTAATGGCGCCACACATCGGACAGTGTACTGCTCGTACGTTCGGTGATGGGTCATAAGCACAGAATCTATGAAACATAGCTTCACAAGGACAGAAAACCCAACCCACTTCATCACCAATTTCATAGGGCGGCTGTGCAAGATTACAGATGTCACGCAAACGGTTCTCTTCATCTTCATTTTGGATGTCCCGTTCTGTTAACTCTTCTGAGTTTATAGAAACTACGTCATCCTCGTCGTTACTTAACGTTTCATCCAAATCGACATTTCCTCGATGCATCAACGGCGTTGTAAAGTTAGTACCAGATATTAGCAGCGGTCGCACATTTTCAAACTCGGCCTCTGTTAACCTGCGCACCCATGAATTTCCTTGGTACCTTAGGGAATTGCACTCGTGATTGTGATGCACATTCCCACGTACAACAGTCCAGTAGCCGTCGATAATCTTACAATACATGAAGGCCGGACATTCAGTGTTCATGGAAGCCCTTCATGACAAAAAATGTTAATAACATTTATAAATTTAATGTACGAGTTTTCATTTCTGCACAAATGCGAATCTCGAACTAC